ACCTCATAAAATGTATAAATGACAAGTGGAATTTCTTAAACTTTGAGATTGAAAAACAGTTTGAAATGAAATATGTGAAGTGTGAAATAAAATATGTGAAGTATGCTATTCTGTTTTCTTAAAAGATATTTTCATTATGAAAGTATGTGCATGTCTTATGTATACATACATACATATATGTGTAGATACACTCAGAAAATTTAGAAAATATGGAAAAATAGGAAGAAGAAAAAAACTTTTAAATAGCTTCCAACTATGGATATCAGTTATTAATATTTCTCCCAATACATTTTCCATGTATAGATAGCTTTTGCTGTGGAAGGTTGGGAGGGGTTGGGCGTAGCCAAGTTGTAATTGTAATGTATATGCAGATTTATATCTCTTCTCCTTTAATATTTTAACAAAAGTATTTTCTGTGCTATTATAATGTGTATATACATAATTCTTTATAAACGTGGTATAATAGTATAGAAACATAGTTGCAAATTACTCATTTGGGTTACTTTAACAGTTTTTAAACCAATTCTTATCAGGTATATACATAGCAGTTTCATGATATTACAAGTGACTCTGTGTATTTCTGTCTATAGAGTTCCTCCCCTCCCTTATTTTTAGTTATTTGCAGATTAGCTAGATTCCCAGAAAAGAGATTTCTAGGGGCGTTGAGAATAAGCATTTCTAAGACTTTCTCTCTGTCTTTGTCTGTCTGTCTCTTTCTCTCTCTCTGTGTCACACACACACATACACACACACACCCCACAGATATAAACTACTCGTATCACTTTACAATTTCATGTGTAAAAAGGTCCATTAAATTATGTCTTCAATGTTAGCTTTTTGCTGAAAAAAAGAGCTTGGCTAATTTAAGATATAAACATTGTTTCTCATAATTTTTGCCCAACTTTCTTCTCTTCTGGGAAATGCTGGGTGAAGGACAGGCCAAATCAGAGGGTCCCGTGGGAGCCAGAAACAATTTGTGGAGTTGAAGCACTATAAGGATAATAAGTTCAAAGTAAGACACTGATCTGAGGGAAGCATGAACCATGGGAACAGGTTTTGGAGCTTCAAAAAGTAGGAGAAGCAGCATAGAGCAGGCAGAGCCATGGGTCATGTGGAGGAACCTAGGAAGGGTCAGACATTGGTGTCATATGCAGGCCCTGTGTGTGTGAAAGTAGTCTTCTCTAGAGAGAGGATCTGATAATATAGGTTGGAAGGAGACTTAGTATTGTTTTTTACATTCTTTTATGCTATTTAAAAAATATTTGTTTTACTATGTGCATATATTACTTTTTCAGTGAAAAATTAGTTTGTTAAAAAGGAGAAATGAGAAAAATTATACTTTACTAATGGGGTTGCATGCTTTTCATATTTTGTCAGTTTCTTTTAATTTCCTTTTATTTTATTGATATGTTAGAGAGTTGGGCAAAATTTTGTAGTAAGAAGTTTTAGATAATTTTCTTGTTATATTTCTAATGTATTCCTGTACCTTATCCTTTTACTAGTTGAACATTTTTATCATAATATTAATTTTATTAAAGAATTTTTTTTCCACTGAAAAAAAGATTTTTTCCTTCCCTTATTAAGCAGAGATTGGCCTCATTTCTTCATTTACTTATTTTCCTCCTTTATCTCCCCAAAGACGTGAACCAACTACATTGTTTCCCAATGTTTTCCATTTATTGTCTCCTCGTGCATGTCTAAATTTGCGGCACTATGGTTTTTAGTAAGTGGGACCTGAATTGAGGGTGAGCTAGGCCTTGAAACTACTATTCCTCACTGTCTTTCTGAAGAAGGAAGCTCTGATAAGGAGGAGCTCTGAGGATTGGTTGGGCTTATTCAAGCCTGTGGGGCCATTGATTCGGGAGGCCATAGGTACGTGGTGGAATGTATTTGCGAGAGAGCAATCTGGGAAGGTGAAGGGTCACATGACCTGGGAGCACTTCTTCTGTCAGGCAGCCTAGTCAGGGTATCCGAAGTAAAGAATTCAAAATTACCACTATGTACGAGTTCACTCATGATCAAAGAGGTAAGTGCCAGTTTGTTGATTTAAAATTGATACTTTAGTTAAATGATTGGAGGAAGAGTTGGAAAATTTACATTCTACACAGTCGCAATTGTTGTCTACTTGAATGTGAGCAGTTATTTAATCTCTCTAGTTAACTAGCCTTTAAAAAGAATTGGCGTGATACCTTCCCTCAACTGTTTCATAGGTGTTTTAGTGAGCATCAGTGAAGTTTCTATTTTAAAATAGTAGTGCATTTTCTTTTGCTTTTGTTTATTTTCTTTGACTATGTTTTATCACTTTCTCTGAATTTATTTTTCATTTCTCATTTTTGGAATCCTCTTGGTATTCTCTTTTCTCTGTTAATATGTGATGTGCCCTGTGGCTACTCTTTGTGGCCATCCTAATTTCAGATTTCTTCCTTCAAGCGTTACCAAAAAGAAGTAGAGGAAGAACTTTGTGAATAGAGAGAGAAACATTTATTTTTCTCTTTTTCATAGACACCTGCTAATTTATGCCTCCTCCTTGTCGTTCCCTGAAGGAGCTTTGGGCATTTTTCTCTATCTCCTACTCAGGAGAATGGAAAGCTCTGAAGTCTTGTATTGCTAGACCTGTTTTTAAAATATGCCCTATTCTTAGGGAGTAACTGAAACTTTATGTATCTTCTGTTTTCTCCCCTTCTAGGCAAAGTGGTTCAAACCACAAATTACCTAACAAGTAAAAGTGGTCATGTAGCAATACTAGAGGAATTTTTATCCTGTTTAGTATCGCTAAACTATCCTTGATGGGAGTATTTTCCAGTGAGTGTGCCTTTAATGGCAAGGAGATCGAAAAGGGAATTGTATTTTAGTGGAAGGAGACTGGTTGGTATGTCTTTAACAATTAGTTTGAATCACTTGAAATGAATTCAAGTTGGTAAGGTATGTTGCCAACTTATGTGTTTTCATAATTTTTAAAAAATTGTTTGGATATAGGCTTGTAACTTACAAACAGCTAAGGAGAAATTACAGAATTTTAAAAATATAAATCATGACAACTAAAGCTTTTTCTTTTTGCTCTAGTAGGAAGCAAGGACTGGTAAGGAATACTTGACCAAGAAATGGAATATTGTGTATTATTCTTGCTTATAAATGTTTAGCAATGCTCTCTGAAGGAAATGCATAGAAAGCTATGTTAAGATCATTTTAAGTTTTGTGCAATGTTGTTATATCCCGTTGATACTTTGAATTTAGTCTTCAACAGCTATGAAGGAGTTTCCAGCTATTGAGGTCAACAGATTTGCCAGTGAAAACTTTGTACTTATCAAATCACTTTCATATCAAGATACCCCTCTTATTCACTGTATAATGCTGAAGCTCTTACCTTTTCTTCTGTTCATTGTCTTTATTGGAACACCCTAAGACCTATTTTTTCCCGTAAATGAAAGAACACTTACCGATTTCCCCACTGACATTTAGTTCCTATAAATCAACCCACTCAGTCAAGCAAAGTAATTCCTTTAAAAATATGCATTCCTTTACTTTTTCTTTTTTTTTTTTTTTTTGTTGTTTGTTTATTTGTTTTGTTTTGTTTTTGAGATGGAATCTTGCTCTGTTGCCCAGGCTGGAGTGCAGTGGCTCCATATCGGCTCACTGCAACCTCTGCTTCCCGGTTTCAAGCAATTCTCTTGCCTCAGCCTCCCGGATAGCTGGGACTACAGGCATATGCTGCCACACCTGGCTAATTTTTTGTATTTCTTTTAGTAGAGATGGGATTTTACCATGTTGCTTAGCCTGGTTGCAAACTCCTGAGCTCTGGCAATCCACCCGCCTCGGCCTCCCAGAGTGCTGGGATTACAGGTGTGACCTACTGTGCCCAGCCACTTTTTCTTTGTTTTCTTTTGATAGAAATGATGCTTGGTTTGTCCTTAAGACAATATAAAGTTGTGTTAATGGTTCTCGGAGTGTAGTCTGCAGACCCCTGGGGATCCTTGAGACCATTTCAGGGGTCTGCAAAGTCAAAACTGTGTTCATAATCATATTATGATATTATTACTTCTTTTTTACAGTGTTAGTGTTTGCATTTACATTGCAGGAGCGGTGGTGGGCAAAACTGATGACTTGGCATTGACCACAGCAGACATCAAGTTATACTCATAGTTATCTTATTCTCTGTTGTCACACATACTCAGTTAAAAAAACAACAATTCACTTAAGAATGTCTTTGATGAAGTAATAAAAACTATGAATTTTATAAAGTCATAACCCTTGAGTACACATGCTTTCAATATTCTGTGTGGCACAATGAGAAGTACACGTGGAGGGCTACTGCATACCAAAGTACATTGTCTCAAGGAAAATCATGAGGTGATTGAGTTCCAAGCTGAACTAGCTGCTTTTTCCTTATCCCTTTTTACTTGGAAGAGTGACTGATGGATGAACTATGGTTACTCAGATTTATGCATTTGGAAGACATTTTCCCTTGTCTCTATTTTATTCCTGTCTTTTTCAGGCCTGTCACCATTGTGCTTATATTTCTGTGAGGCTCTAGTGTTTACAGAGCGTTTATTTATATCTGGTATTACAGATACAGATGGTCTGTGGATCTGAGTTGAATTACTTTAGCATATAATGCTGAATTTAGGTAGAGATAGAAAAAAATTAAAATTATAAAAGAATAAGAAACAAATTAAGTCTTCCAGGGCTAAAATTATGGTCTTCTAGGATATTTAAGTTTCTTGTTTTGTTACTACCCGGCTTTACACTTCACTGTTTCTGCCTATTCATGATGGAATTCCTCCTCGATTTTTCTGCAAGGATTTTTTAGAAGGCAGGAGAAATTGCCAATATCAAAAGATTTCTCTAACTTCCTCTCTGGGTTTATGGCTAACTAGAAGTAGTCTGTTCCTCTTAGATTTATTTCTATTACTCTTTTCCTCTACATCAATGTGTGAATGTGATACTGGATTTATATGAAATATCATTTTTAACTGGTCTTTTATTTGTTTTGACTTCTACAGAATCTTGCCTCCTGGAATCCTTCAAATCCTGAATGTCTCTTACTTGTGGTGAAGGAACTTGTGCAACAGTATCACCAGTTCCAATGTAGCCGCCTCCGGGAGAGCTCCCGCCTCATGTTTGAATACCAGACATTACTGGAAGAGCCACAATATGGAGAGAACATGGAAATTTATGCTGGGAAAAAAAACAACTGGGTAAGGAGTTTAGAGAATGGGAAAAAAGATGACTTCATCTATAATAAAATAATCAATTCAGATGTCCATTTGTAAATCCTAGTCATTTCTTTAGATAAACGTGGTCTAGGTAGCCTATATATGTTTCTCATAATGTAGAGTTTAAAGAGACCTTAATGTTTGTCTAGTTCATTGTGTTTCTCAAAGATATTATCTGGGAAGTTTATAAGGTTCAGAGTCTCATCCACAGCCCCAGATATTCAGCAGTCAGAGGTGGAACGTGAGGGCCTGTACCTGCTCCCAACCTCCATGTCGTTCTGATGTATATGGCTTGCAGGTCACATTGTGAGACACTAACAAGTTTCCCCTTCCTTTGAATGGAAGACTTCTCTAATTTCCTGGTCAGGTAAGAGAGGTCAGTCACTCTGGAAACAGCTAGTTTACATGGTGCCTTTTATATTTTCTTTTTGTAATTTACAGTTACGTGATCCTTTAAAAATTCAAGTCAGATCTTACCACTCCTCTGCCCAGAACCTTCTGTACTTTTCTTTTTTCTCCCATGGTAAAAACTAAAGTCTTTCTAGTGGTATAAAAAACTGTAATTCCCATCACCACCATCTTCCATCCATCATTAATTCCATCTGTTCATCTCCTACCTTCCTCTTTCAAATTCAGCTCCCCGCTGTGCTGCAGGCACACCAGGTATTCTGCTGCCCAAGAGTCTTTGCATAGGTTCTCTGTGGTCAGGCATGTTTCCCTCAGATATGCACATGGCTAGTACTATTCTTCCTTCAAACTTCTAAGGTTATGTTCTCAATGATGCCCTGTTAACACCCTCAGCAGCCGTTTTGAGGTATAATTTACATATCATAAATTCACCTGTTTTAAGTGTACAGTTAAAAATGATTTTTTAAAAAATTTGCTGATTTGAGCAACCACCACCATTATCCAGTTTTAGAATGGTTCCATCACCCCAGTCAGATCCCTCATGTCCACTTACAGTTAATCTTGTTCCCACCTCCAGCCTTAGTCAATCACTAAACTACTTTCTATTTCTATAAATGTTCTTTTCTGGACATTTTTTGTGATGGAATCTTACTACAGTATGTGGTTTTTTTGTGACTGATTTCTTTCACTTAGCCTGTGTTTGAGGTTCATCCAGTTGTAGCATGTATCATTACTTCATTTCTCTTTATGGCTGAATAATATTCCGTTGAATAGATGTTCAACATTTTGTTTATCCATTTACCAGTGAATGGCCACTTGGATTGTTTCCACTTTTTGACTTTTATGAATAATGCTGCTGTAAGCATTCATGTGTAAGTATTGGTAATACCCCCTTTAAACATTGTGATTTGCACCTGTACCCTCTCCTGCACTCTTTACTTTGCTCCATATGGTTTTTTTGCATCTCCTTTTAACATGCCATATAATTAATTAATGTATTAATTATATGTTGCTATGTAAAATAATCATTCCAAAACTTTCTTCTAACAATAACATTTATTATCATAGTTTTTGGCAGCAATCTGGGTAAGCCCTTTGCCTTACAGGCTGTGCTTGAAGTGTTGGCAAGGGCGCTGGCCATCTCAGGGCTCAACTGGAGATGGAGTCATTATAAATGCATGCATGTGGTTGTTGGCATAATTCCATACCTCATCGGTTTTTGAACTGAGGGCCTCAGTTCCAGTGCTGGCTGTTGTCTGGAGGCCACCTTCAGCTCCTAGCCTCTCTACAGGGCAGTGCACAAGATTCAGTGCAAGCAAGTAGGTGAGAGCAAGAGGGAGTATGTGAGCAAGATAGAAGTCACAGTCTTTTATAACCAAATCTTGAAAGTAACAGGCCCTCTCTTTTGCTGTATTCTATTTGTTAGGTCCAGTATTCCACCTTCCCAACATACCTACACACCCTCCTACACACACCTACACACACACACACACACACACACACACGGAATTACATATAAGTGTGAATACTAGGGACCATTGGGAGCCACTTAGAGGGAGCCTACCACACTTATTTATTATGTTTATTGTGTGTCTGTCCACATTGGAATATAAAATCTCATGAGGGCGGGGATCTTTGTTTTGTTCACTGGCAAATCACAAACACCTGGAGCAGTGTTTCCCACTTCATTGCTATTCTATAAACATTTGTTGAATGAATGAATGAATAAACTCGAATTAAGCACGAATACGTTTAGGTGCTCATCTCTGCTAATTCCTTTAGGTTTCACTGTCTTTCCTTGGCTAAATACATGCTCCCTTTTATTTTTCAGCGTTTTCTTTTTCTTTTTTTGAGACAGAGTCTTGCTCTGTTGCCCAGGCTGGAGTGAAGTGGCACAATCTTGGCTCACTGCAACCTCCGCCTCCTGGGTTCAAGCAATTCTTCTGTCTCAGCCTCCTGAGTAGCTGGGACTACAAGTGCATACCACCATGTCTGGCTAATTTTTGTATTTTTAGTAAAGATGGGGTTTCACCATATTGGTCAGGCTGGTCTTGAACTCCTGACCTCAGGTGATCCACCCAACCTCGGCCTCCCAAAGTGCTGAGATTACAGACGTGAGCCACCATGCCTGGCCTCTTTGACTTTTTTTTAAAGGTTATGATTTCAAGGTTTTACACATGATTAATACCTTTGAATCAGCATGACGAAAATTTTTCTTATTACAAATCATGTTGTTTGTTCAGTTCAAGGTTTTTTTCCTTTTGTAAAGTCTTAAATTTATATTGTAGTAAAAGACATAACACTCAATTTTCGTTCTTTTCTGTTTTTAAGTGTGCACTTCAGTAGTGTTAACTATATTCACATTGTTGTGCAACAGAGCTCTAGAACTTTTTAATCTTGCAAACTAACCCATTAAACACTAATTCCTCCTCCCACCCCCAGCTCTTGGCAATCACTTTATTATTTGGGTTGTTTCTACTTCTTGGCTTTTGTGAATAATGCTACATTGAACATAGGTGTGCAGATATCTCTTTGAGATTCTGCTTTGAGTTCTTTGGGATATATACCTACAAGAGGGATTTCTAGATTATATGGTAATTCTATTTTTAATTTTTTGGGGAATTTCCCTACTGCTTTCCTTAACTACTGCACTATTTTACATTCCTGCCAACAATGCATGGTTCAAGGCTTAAATTATTGATTATCTTGAAATATTAATCTGTTTATATGGTTAGTAAGGAAAACTTTGTTGAACTTGGTTTATCCTTTATCCCCAGCATTTTCCTTATTAAATAATCAACTTAATTGTCCTTACATAAATGGATGTTAGATTAATTGACATGACTTCTTGGTGAACCTGTGTTGTCTTTAGTGCTGACAAGCTCATCTGAAAACAGGAATAGCTGTCTAACGAACCAGTCTTCAGTTTTTAGGATTTGCCTTTCTGCCTTATTCCCTCTTTTTAATGTTAAGGCTGAAGTTGAATATAATCCAGTTTTATGGCATCCTTTGTTACCTAATAATTTTCAAAATGTTCAGTGGCTCAGCTAATACTTGAGTTGTAGTTCGTCTAGGTGTAGAAGTTTAAATTCATTTCAGGCAGATAGTTTGTATTTATAGTATTTTTTAAACTTCTATTTAATGTTACTGATATTTCTTTGTTTACTTACAAAACCTGCTACTGCTATACTTATCCCAGTTTATTTTGATTGGATATTAAGAAGCTTTTAAACATTGGTTATGGATTGGCAATGGTTATGGATTCAGGTCAAGTAAAGAAATTGAGAATCCTTGAACAAGGCAAAGTAGACCGAGGTTAAGCTTACCAGGCCTAGGGAAGGCCTAGTAGAAATGACACCTGTGACTATATATGAGTTGAAACCAGGGAGCAGGTCAAGAAACAGAGTATAAAAGTGAGTCTTGAGGGATGAACAAATTAGAGCTTGGCGTGAGGGTTCAGGAATATGTTAAAGGACAGCCTGCTAGTGGAATCAAAATCTAGATCAAGAATCTGGAGATAAATACTGGACCTTGACAGAAAGAAAGGAGCTTGATTTTGAGCCAAGATTTTTTTTGGATCAGGAACTATATTAGTTTCCTACTGCTGCTGTAAAAATTACCACTAATTTGGCTTAAGGCCACACATTTATTATGTCATAGTTCTGAAGGGCAGAAGTCTGAAATGGGTCTCCCTGGGCCAAAATCAAGGTGGTGGCAAGGCTGCATGCCTTATGGAAGCTCTAAAGGAAACCATTTCAGGATACTGAAGAAACTTGCAGATACGCTCTCTGGGACATTATCTTTTGGAGAAGCAGAAAATCCTAGAAGACTGTTAGAAGTAAAAATATCCTGGAGATTTTTTAAGAAATTAAGCTCAGATCTTTAAGTAGATGATTTGCAAAAATTTAAATAAGAATGCAGTAGACAATTGGAAAAATAGTCGGGTAAATGGAAAACTGTCATGACAAACTTACTTGACTTCTTTAAGGTAGGTAAATATCGTAGACTTAGATGATATTTTCATTTTGAATGAAGCACTTGGTTATTCTTTCTTAGGATTCCACTGACTTATGCTCTTTTCTTAGTTGTTGGGATGTAAAGTTCCACCTAAAACTTTGGGTATAACTCTTGTCAGCCTCAGGTGTTTTGTGCAATGTCACAGGGCTTTTCTTTTGACCCTATCTTGTTAAGGGTTTTGTTAGGGACTTGAATAAAGCCATACAAAGTATGTGTTTCTTTTTTCTGCTAGCCCAGAGCTTACAAAGATATATATTATGAGAGATAACAGAATCAACATTAATAATTATTTTTATGTGCTGGAATGCTGCACCAGACTAACATGATACACTTTAGTAGGGCCAAGCCACTATGGGACTAATAGCTTTTATGGAAAGTCTACTATGCTAGGTTTTGAGTTTAAAGATAAAAGTAGGTCAGATATGGCTTTGGCTCCTGAGGCTGTTAAAATCCAGTTAACAAGGTTCAATCCATATCTTTAAAATGAATTTGAACAATACTGGATAGATTACAACTCAAATGGAATATGCAGGCTGTATGAGCATTCAGCAGCAGAG